TGTCAGCTTGAGTTTCAGGAATGTGAGAAAGTAAATTAAACTATGTACAAATTTATAGGAATATGGCGTTTAAGGTTTGGTCACTCTCCCACGAACGTCTGTTAGCTTCCGCATGTTCTTGACATGCTAATAGAGTTATTATCGCCTTATTGTAGTATACGAAATGCTGGCAGATATAATTGATTGCAATTAGTGCGGAGGGTATTTTGTGTTCCAATTTGAAAGATTGCTTTGCGTTGCTGACACCATTCTACGCTGACATATTTACTGATATTGGCAACAACTTAATACTGAAAGGGGAACTGTACAGCAAGTGAACGACTGTCGAGAAAATTTAATAAGTTCTTTTTATTGAGAGCTAAACTTCAGTGTCTGCCGTAGCCGCTTGTTTAGAGTTTCGTGCTACAACTTTGGTAGAACTCATAGCTGATGGCCTTTTCGTGCAACACCCAAGTGTTTGGAGTTCTATAACACTTTTGTAAGGCATATCTGGTCAGCGTGTAAAAGAGTTCGAAAAAAGTCCCTTTTAATAATTAGGAAGTACCACTGTGCGCTGGCTGGTAAATAAAATAATACACCGAGTCCTTAAAGAAATAGTAATTTTTTAAAGAAGGCAAAGCAAATCCTCTATGCGATCAATTGTAATAAGAACAAAATTTCAAGTCACAGATAGTCCTAAAAGACTTTGGCAGCTATCCCATTAGAGCGAATGCTATCCATACCTGTTCGCGTGTTTTTTTTTTTTTTGATAGTAAACATGAAATTACCTTTTACAAACATATTTATATATGTAACGGGTGATTTTTTTGAGGTTAGGATTTTCATGCATTAGTATTTGACAGATCACGTGGGATTTCAGACATGGTGTCAAAGAGAAAGATGCTCAGTATGCTTTGACATTTCATCATGAATAGACTTACTAACGAGCAACGCTTGCAAATCATTGAATTTTATTACCAAAATCAGTGTTCGGTTCGAAATGTGTTTCGCGCTTTACGTCCGATTTATGGTCTACATAATCGACCAAGTGAGCAAACAATTAATGCGATTGTGACCAAGTTTCGCACTCAGTTTACTTTATTGGACATTAAACCAACCACACGAATGCGTACAGTGCGTACAGAAGAGAATATTGCGTCTGTTTCTGAGAGTGTTGCTGAAGACCGTGAAATGTCGATTCGTCGCCGTTCGCAGCAATTGGGTTTGTGTTATTCGACCACATGGAAGATTTTACGCAAAGATCTTGGTGTAAAACCGTATAAAATACAGCTCGTGCAAGAACTGAAGCCGAACGATCTGCCACAACGTCGAATTTTCAGTGAATGGGCCCTAGAAAAGTTGGCAGAAAATCCGCTTTTTTATCGACAAATTTTGTTCAGCGATGAGGCTCATTTCTGGTTGAATGGCTTCGTAAATAAGCAAAATTGCCGCATTTGGAGTGAAGAGCAACCAGAAGCCGTTCAAGAACTGCCCATGCATCCCGAAAAATGCACTGTTTGGTGTGGTTTGTACGCTGGTGGAATCATTGGACCGTATTTTTTCAAAGATGCTGTTGGACGCAACGTTACGGTGAATGGCGATCGCTATCGTTCGATGCTAACAAACTTTTTTGTTGCCAAAAATGGAAGAACTGAACTTGGTTGACATGTGGTTTCAACAAGATGGCGCTACATGCCACACAGCTCGCGATTCTATGGCCATTTTGAGGGAAAACTTCGGAGAACAATTCATCTCAAGAAATGGACCGGTAAGTTGGCCACCAAGATCATGCGATTTGACGCCTTTAGACTATTTTTTTTTGTGGGGCTACGTCAAGTCTAAAGTCTACAGAAATAAGCCAGCAACTATTCCAGCTTTGGAAGACAACATTTCCGAAGAAATTCGGGCTATTCCGGCCGAAATGCTCGAAAAAGTTGCCCAAAATTGGACTTTCCGAATGGACCACGTAAGACGCAGCCGCGGTCAACATTTAAATGAAATTATCTTCAAAAAGTAAATGTCATGGACCAATCTAACGTTTCAAATAAAGAACCGATGAGATTTTGCAAATTTTATGCGTTTTTTTTTAAAAAAAAGTTATCAAGCTCTTAAAAAATCACCCGATACATATGAATGCCCATTAAGGGCGCTGAGCCGGCAAACCTGCTCAAATGGCTCAAGCAAAGCATTAAAAGCTCTATGATAAAAAAGAAGCATCGACGACTAGGAAGCCTTAAAGCGAAACCACAGACGACCGTAGAAATATGACTACTCTAATGGGGATTATATTTAATTACATACGAGTATACATACTACATACATATGTATAAATACAAATATATAAGTATGTATATACATATGAAAATATGACTAAAAATACAAAGCGTTCGCTGACTGATGAATGGAAAACTATGAATACAATACAGTGGAAAAATATAATTAGGGAAGAGACATTTTGGTAAGTTTAGAGCATTCTTCTTTGTTTAAAAATGTTCATTATTATTATAATTTTTTTTTTTGTGAAAGTATAGCTTGATATCTAAAAATAAAAAAAACAAAATTTGAAAACTTTTTAAGTATACAGTTTTGTAGCCAATTAAACTTTATCGTAATAAAGGGTAAATTTGAAATAGCTAGGACATACTGTTCATTTTTGGCTATTTTTTGTTCACCCATTTTCTTCTTTACAAAGTTTGTTCGACTATTTTTTTTTGTATGGAGCAAATAAGCAAGAACTTTTACAAAAAAAAAGCTAAACATCAGCAGTAAAGCTATTTCAAATTTGCCCTTTAATTGGATGGTCTACAAAACTGCATACCCAGAATGTATCGAAGATATCGAATTAAAAAACTCTAAATTTTAATGCAACTTTGTCGAACATAGCTTTTGTTATATAATAAGCTACACTTTCATATGCAAACATTTTACTTTAAATAAAAGAAAAGAAAATAGGAAACAAATGCTAAAATTTCTCCTCTTCTCTACTTATATTTTCGCCACTGTAGTTTCATTGAACCAAGAAGTACCAATGGGCTATTATTATTTCATGTGTGCTTGGGAATGTGTGTACATGCATGTATGTTGGCTTCACACACATATGTTAATGCGAAAGCAATCAAAGCAATCCATAAATCATGCATAGTTAGGTACATAAATACCTATTTGAAAAACAATACGCACACAATATTTAGTAAGGTAAGGTATCATTACAGCTGCCGGAAATAGCTCGAATCGCCATAGTGCACTACCATGGCTAATTTTATGTTTAAATGGAATTTGCAGAAGAAAAGAAATCCAACGCGTAATCAACCACACTATATACATATAAACAAATGGTGCGAATTGAATTAATCGATTTTTTTTTTGTTTTGTTAATAGCATAGCACAAGGATTTGTTTATTGTGGGAACTGAGCCATTTTTGATTAATGAACTTATTAAACTTTTGTTCTTTGTGAATAATTACGCTTATTGAGTTTGAGTGCCGACATATACATAGCAGGTCATACATACATATGTATAAGATAATCGAATTCAATTTTCCTAACACTTCCATTTGTTTGGCGCTGTAACTGCCTGAGCGATTTGGACCAAGTCGAATAAGTGCCCCAGCCGTTCGCTAGCATACGCCAGCAATTGTATGCTTTAGCAAAAGTGTTGTGCCTTAGTAAAGAAATCACACGACAGAAAGTCGCCCTCTCTGAAACCACGGAAAGGTCCTTCCCAATTCTGACGAAGCTGGTGGCCTTGCTCATTGTCATTTTACACAGCCGAATCTGTTTCGCGGGGATACCAAATTCACACATCGTAGCGTATAAACAACTCCTCTTAGTGCTGTCAAAAGCGGCTTTGAGTGTTGATCCCTTTCTCGTGAGTCTTTCCAAGGTTTGGCCGGTGATCGGCGACGGGGTCTTTCTCCAACTACGAATCCAATACCAAATTCGCGCTCCTTTACGTGGCAACTGTAGAGACGTCGCAAGGCTTACCTTGCCCTGCCCCTACGATCGCATTTATTGGATGGCGATGATTACAGCCTGTGTCAAGGGGCCGGATCTTACAGGTGCATACTCTCAAATCATAGGCTTTAATACGTTTTTCGTGGTCGTCATCAGAAAAAGGGGGTTTCATCCGAGGCTGTTTATTCGTTTTCATTGGGCGGGGTTTTAACGTGGCGGTACCCAAACCCAGCGCACGCGAAGTTTTACGCTCTCTCACCTTAGCTCGCACCCAAACTCGTGTTTGGTCGCTACCCAGAGGATAGGGTTGATAGGGCAGATGAATGGCGGTCAAAAGTTTTTCCCACTTACTTGGACTGCTGCATACGGAGGCATCCTGCAGCCCCATATATTTCCGTAGAACCTCAATTTTCGGTATGAGACATTTATGAATAGACATAAATTAAGAAAAAAAAAAATTGGCATGATCTATTTATTTTAAAGCATGCTTCCCATATAAATCTAACCTCAAAAACGTCTCAAAAAAGCTGTAAAAAGTGAACCGATGAACATATAATTCTGAAATTTTGTCCATATGTTAGTAATAATATTATAACTAAACATCCAAAAAATAGGAGTAATCGATTTATTCTAACATATACCTCCTATGCAAACTTAGCCCCAAAAAACGCCTTAAAAATACCATAACTGCCATCAGTACTATATGAGGTTACGTTAAAATTCGCAAATATGTGCCAATTTTTTTCTGAAATAGTAGGAAGGCGAAGAAAGATTAAGTTTTCGTCCATCAAAAGTGTCAAAGTTAGCATTTGTAAAGTGTAATTTTTTTCTCTAATCTGTCTACTAAGTAAGTGCTACATTTTCATATCAACCTACAACAAAAACAATAAAAACAACGTTACAAAAATAACAAATTACCTAAATGAACAAAAATCTCAATTAATTTTTAATAAAAATTTAATTTTCAAAAAATTGTATATTTCGCGCCGAAGCACCACTGTGCAGCGCCTTGAACACATTTACTAAACACTTTCTTATCGCAAACATTTTTCTCTTTCTCTTTTCAGTTACAACGTCTATTACTTTTCACGCTGCTATATGGTCTGGCCATTGCCCAGGACTATCAAGACTACCAGGAGAACACCCCGCGTCCTGCACCAATAAGACTGCGTCCCAACGCTGGTTTGGCAGATGCCCCGCGGCCCACACCCGTGCCCATTCTGAAACAAATCAACAAGTAAGTTACCCGAAAGGCAGTCAATTTCGAGAAAATCTTGATTTATTTTTTCAACTTTGCAGACACAATGAAGACGGTTCCTACACTTATGGTTATGAGGGCGCAGATGGCTCATTCAAAATCGAAACAAAGCTGGCGACCGGTGAAGTGAAGGGCAAATATGGTTATGTGGATGAAACCGGCAAGGTACGCGTCGTGGAATATGGCGCAAATCAATATGGCTTCCAGCCATCTGGTGAAGGTATCACTGTAGCGCCACCCACGCTAGTGGATGAAACAGCAAAGGAGGAGCCAGACTATGAAGATGAACCTGTGCGTCCTCAGCGTCCTTATGTAAGTGAGAATACAAACGCAATTTAGTTTAACTTTAGCTATCGTCAAACTTTCTACATATTAAAGCGTCCACCACGCCCGCAGCAACCGCGTCCTGCACCTGCACCTGCACCACGTCCACAGCCACAACCACAGCCGCAGCCACAATACTTCCAATATGAAGAGGAAGTTGAGCAGGAACCAGAGCCACCACGCCGCATTCAATATGCACCACAGCCACAGCAAATTTCCGCCGGCCCAGCGCCACCAAGAATACAAGTGCCAGGTGCGCAACGTTCCACCGACGTCTTATATTCACCACTACAACGTCCAGCACGCCCTGAACCGGATTATTCACAAACACAGGTATGCGGGCGCATACTATCTCTGGTTACGAATTTTTTCAATTAATTTTTTTTCATTTATTTTTCATACGCACAGAACTTTGGCGGTGGCCCATCAAATGTACGCATCTCCCGACCCGTCTATGCACCCGCACCGGTACAACCTGCCCCCGCCAGTGCACGCGCTAACAACTTCTTAGGTCCGCCATCCGGTGGTCGTCCCATATTGGATCAGTTTGGACCAGCGCCGCAGACACGTCCGGTGCAACAGGCCGCACCAGCGCCGCTACCCCGCTATCAACCACAGATCAATCATCAACCGCAGGCGCAGGGACGCGCTGGTGGCGGTGGTGGCAGTTTGTTGGATCAATTAGCGCGAGATTATGCTCTACCACAAGGCAATGCCCAGCCTTTGCATGATATTTCATTTGGTTACTATTGAGCGGATAGTCAACGTGGGCTTTTCGGAGTTTTGTAAATGTATGTGTATAGTATTTTAATAAAATCGAGAAACTGAGATTGTAAATCTTTGTAAAATTGCCAGTAAATGATTTCCAAGTTATGTGAATGAGAAAATCTTCTTGTCGATTTGTACTTAAAAAAAAAAAAAGTAAGTGCGCCTGGGCCACACTGTAGAAGTGAAACTTACGTTACTTATCTATCTATACATACACACATCAGCTTTTGCTTAAGGTTATATTTTTTTCGATTTTTTTCTATCAGTGTAGATCCCTACCTCTACCGGTGTTCGTTTTAATAACATTCATGTTATTCTGTTTTTCCATTATCTTCATTTTTATCTTCATACTCTATCGATATAACGTCCATCAAAATATCGATAATAAAATCGATGACAAATTCGACAAAGATCGATAACAAAATCGACAAAGATCGATAACAAAATCGATAAATATCGATAGCAAAATCGATAAATGTCGATAACAAAATCGATAAATATCGATAACAAAATCGATTTATATCAATAACAAAATCGATAATTATCGCTTAAGTCGATAAATAACGGTAACAAAATCGATGAATATCGATAACAAAATCGATAAATATCGATAACAAAACGGATAAAAATATCGATTATTTAATCGATAAGTCTCGACAATCTCTAAAATCCCAAAATAGTTCCCAGATTGAGTCTCTGTGTCTCTCTCTATACCCTTTCCTCCTTAATTACATTTATTTTAATCTTTCTTCCCCTATCTTCATCTTTACTTTTATCGGTATCCTCATCCTGATCTTTGTTTTTACTTTTATGTTTATCATTTTCTTCATCAACATATTCCCCTTCACCTTTGCCCTTATATATATAAGTAAAGTGTTTAAATTTACCTGGGTCTTCATTTTTTATTGGTCACTCATTATATGGACAAACCCGATTATCACATATGCAGCACTGGCCTAGTGGCCAAAAGTCAGGCAAAATGGTTATGGCGCTGGGGAAGTTTACTGATGAGTCTGTGCAGCCATTACAGGAGCCACGTGAATCTGCTCGGCAAAAGAACTGGTAATCTTTACTTCCATACTTATTGACAATGAGGCTTCCGGTGGCGCTTTGCGTTTCAGCAACTTAGTGAACACAAGGCTTATTGACTTTCATAAGCGCTTGTTGGTTTTAAAACCATTCTTTGAGGATCAAACCTTCAGATAAAATGCTACCGTAATTAGTCTTGAACAAGCCCTATAAGGTAAAGATTCTTGAAAGGGACACTGTCAGAGTGTGGTATACTGCTGGATGTGTGCTCGAAGTTGGCAATGCTGGTACCGGGGACGGACAGAACTAAAATTACTTGGGTCAGAACGGGGTTTATATGGTCCCAATAGAGTTATGTAGCCTTTCTGAGCTCCTAAGGGAAAAGGCACCCTGAAAGCATTATAACATCCTCTAGGACAATCGCGGAATGATTTCTGGATTTAAGTCGAGAGGGTTTCACGGACTACCTGACCTTGACTAACTTGAAGTTCTGCCTAAAATTAGGAACATGGCATCCTATAAAATGCCTAATTTCATAAATGCCCTAAGGATGGAGTAAATTTGTGTGAGGCCAGCTCACAAAACACTCAAAAAATTGGCTCAATAAAAATTTTGTCAAAATGTATTGGAAAATATCTAAACAATGAAAAAAAGAGTTCAAAGACATTTTGGTAAATTTTTTCTGTTTTTGTACTCTTTTTGGTACGCAAAAAAAGAAGTAAGTGGCAACCGTACCTGTGGTAAGTTATTTTTACGAAAACTCTTTTTAATACGAGTACATATTTCCTCTTTTTAGTTTTCATGTTTACCTACATACATAGATATTTGATTTTTAAGATTGTGTGCTATTATAGCCACAGTGCGCCGTCGCAGAAGCTTTATCAGCAGCAAATACGATGGCCTTCAAACTGTTTTGATTCGTACACACGGTACGCTAAAGTAGTATGCGGCGAATATGTATTGCCTGCTTTTAGGCGCTAAAAGAAAAAAACAATGCTGCCTTTTTATATATAGTATATTACAAATTACATCATTTATTGTACAAAATTTACGAACAATGAAGGAGCAATAAATGTAACTATTTTTTAAACAGAACAGCACAATAATAAAATAATAAATACTTAAACCAACAAAGATGCAAAAATACGTAAATAATCGAATTTAAAGGTTTTTCATAAAAGAAGGGACCCGACAGTCGGCTTCACATACACAGAGGCGAGCAGGGCAGAGGCGATTCGACATCAGGCTGTTGCGGTCCAGATTAACAGAAAGTTGCAGGCAAGCGAAGACATGACACCCACGTTATGTATTCTGGATTCCAGTTGTATATAGTTTATAAGATTTTCGTGTAATTCATTGGATCTTGAAACAGAGAATGCACTTTACTACTGATAGTAGAACTCTGTAAAGAAGATGACGTTTTAAAAAGAACTATTTATGTAAGTAAACGGGTTGTAAGAATTAGGTAAATGAAGCACTTAAAGAAGTGAGGTTTGGCTGAGGATGACGGAGCAAAAACTAAACTAAGTGCGGGAGTGAGATAGAAGAGAATTTAGTGTGAAAGTGCAGAGTTGACGATAGGAGCCACAGATGTAAAATGGATGGGTGACATACGCAAATAAATGCCAATATTAATATAAATATTTTTTTTTTATCAAAATCTCTTTGTAATTACATACTTTCAAATTAAGAAACTAGATGAATACACTCTATCGAATTATGCTGTTGTTAATACATACATATGTAGATATATTTTTGTTATTTTTTTCTTCTCAGACTTACTACTAATGACTGACGGTTTTATTGACAATAAAAATATTTGTTTCGATTATTATCGACTACTTTTCCGATAAATGCAATGCACTTAAACTACTTTACATGAAATTGTAGTGTAATTAAATAAATAAATAATAAATAAATAAATAAATATATATAAGAAAAATGCAATTTGTAATGCTTTCGTTGTGCTCCTTTAAACCCAGTGTGGGTGGGCCAATCTCCTCGCCGTTTCATTCAAAATAACAACATTCGATTGAACATGAGCGGATCATTTATCTCGTAGTCGTGGTGTTTGAAGTACGGCCCCAGTTTGGACTGTACCTTGAGCGCTGTAATCGAAGAGCCCGACGGCACTTGACGTCGCACCTTGTAGGCAGACGAGGAGGAGGACGACGAGGCGGAGGAAGATGACGCAGCCGGCGCATGTTGTACGGTAAGAGAAGGTGCCTGTTGAGCTGCATATGCGACAGAGTGTTGTTGTGCGGCGTACGTATGTGACGGCGCTGCTACCGCAGCTGATGGTGCGGAGCCGGACGCTATTGCCTGTGGTCGTTGTGGTGGTTGTGGTGGTGATGGTGGTGGTGGTGGCACATATGTTGGTCTATACTCGTTATCAGCCTTATTTTGCGCTGGATCGAAGTATATATGCTTTGTTTTTTGCACAGAAGGTGGCAGATATTTGAATTGTTGATTGCTTGACTTCGCTGCCGTTCGCGGATCTACTTTGTAGACGCTCTTCTCAACGGCAAAATGTTTACTCACATTAGCTTGTGTGGCACCACGCCGTTTGGCCACCTCTAAAGCTGCAATAATGGGTGTCAGATCTTTCAACGCGCTGCTTGTTGCATGATAATTGTTGTAGTGATAACCGCCACCCTGATTGCCATTGCTAGCTGCTGGTGGATTCGTTGGCCGATAGTCATAACCCTCATTTGGGTGCTTTTGTATGTAAATCTCCTCCGCCGTTTGCTTCTTAGCCATTTGGCGGTAAATGTCCGCAGGATTTTCTGGCCCATTACCTGGACGCTGGCCATATGCTGCTGTTATGGACTCGGTGTGTGAAAGGGACTCCAGTGGTCCCAAATCATTCTGCAAGCCATATGTATGCAAGTCAGCGCTCTCATTTGTCAATTCAGCACCTGGGCCGGTGTGTGGCGAGTGGCTGTGTGTGTCCAGCACGACTGTTTTCGATGCGGTGAATTCTGTTTTGCCATTAGGCAGCAGGCTAAGGATTTCTTGTAGTTGCGCAGCAGCTTTGCGTGTATCCGCTTCGCTAAGTTTCTGATGGCGGCCATAAATGTTGAAGTCATCGTTTCCTGTAGGTTTTTGCGCACACCGATGAGTGTGGTTTTGTGTGGTGTGTATGTGTGCGTGGCGTTTGTGAATTAATTCGTTGCCGTTGTTGGTGTGATGTTGCAGTTTTGATTGTTTGTGTGATTTTATGGAAAACAGAAAGCATTAAAAACAAATTCAATTTTATTTCAGTACGAGTAGGTATTATTTTGTTGTGTAAAAATTTCATTTGCATGTTGTATGTTTGTGAATACCTAGGAATGTGTGTATGTATGTATAAGTAAATTGCGTGCTTACTCACTCACATTTTGGATGGAATTGTGATGGCCGATGGAGTATGAATAGAGTGAATAAGGGCCA